AAAACTACAATGGAATGGAGAATTGTAACAATTTGCGGATGGAGAGCGGGCTTTCCACACCGGCGGAATGTTATAAATTAATTTAAAGGAGGCACGTGTACAAGATGAATGCAACCCCCCCCCCCCGAGCCGTCCCCCCCCCCCCCCACCATCTGACTATAATTTTTTATTTAATTTTTTAAATTGTATAGTTAGTGTATTTGTTTTAAATTAAATGATTCTAGGATATTGTAAGTAATTAGTAATAATAAAATCTGCATCGAAAGGGGACGTATGAAATCAAGTACAATCTAGAAATATTAGATAGGCTGGGAAAATATTTCCGCCAGTGATTACGGTAAGAATCAACATGAAGAACGTCTTCCGTCCTTCCAGGCTGTTGCCGGGAGGAGGGGGGGGGGGGGGTTACATCCCTGTCTAAAGGGAAAACCCACCCTAGCTGATACGAAAGGCAGGTCAGGAAAAATATTGAGAACATTCCCATTTAAAAAAAAAGAAAAGTTATGCATTTGTTTATCTTTCGATCATTTATATACAAATTGGCGATTCTCCCCTTCCATTTACGCTGTACTTTAAAAGAAAATCTGTAATTTATATTTTCCCTCAAGAAAGTTTTAAAATCATACATGCAGCCTAAATTTATTTTTACAGATACGTTTCTATACATCACCTGTATGAAATACATTTATTCCATCACCAATAATCAAATAAATGAAAGTTTTTGAAAATGTATGTGCAGAGCGAACTGGAGAGGAGCGCGCAAGATACGTCAAAGTATTGCCAATTTGTGCTTGATTGATCGAAACTTCAAAAATGAATTAATAAATTTCTCCATTTAATCGCAAACTTTCACCTGTTCATCTTATATTCTCTGCTTTTATTTTGTGGATATTTTGTGGACACAGAGAGAGAGAGAGAGAGAGAGAGAGAGCGAGAGAGAGAGAGAGAGAGAGAGAGAAGGAGAGAGCAAAATGGAGGAGTGACGGATACACTTTATAAGCAGTGAACTCTCAGGATTTGTATTCCAATTGTTTTAATCATTACATGTAATGAACTTGAATGTGTGTATGCATGCGTGTATGTAGATCGAGAGAGATAGAGGAGAAAGGGGAGGAGGGGAATGTGAGGGAAGGAGGAAGAGCGAGGTGGGGAGCAAGAGGAAAGAGAGAGAGAGAGAGAGAGAGAGAGAGAGATGGAGGGGGAGGGAGGGAGGGATGGAGGGATGGAGGGAGGGGGAAGGGAGGAAGAAGGGAGGGAGAAAAAGGAGGGCAAGCTAGAGTAACCCTTTACTCTACTACTGCACAGACAAAACTCTATTACTTTGAGACATGCATAAATAAAAATTCAGGATCCGTGGAGATATGTCAAAGTCCATCTACGTCATGCATACATATACAAATATAGGATCTCTATATGGAGATATGTCATACGCCATCTACGTCATGAAAGTACAGCCAATCATCTGATAACTATAACCATTTCACACATTGCATCATTATTGTGATTCTATAAAGAGCTAATTAATAACGGTTGTCACGTTCAGACAACATTCAAAGGTTAAACAAAAAAGTCATAAACTTGATTGCTCACTTGTCATGATAGTCATAATCGGGATATTTCATGTGACCAATTTATAAAAGCCACACCGTTTACACATGCAGTCACGTTTGAATACCTCGATATATCTCTTCATTTGTGTTTGAATTATGAGTTATATTCGTCTTGTCCCAATTGCATTTTGGCAAGTAATAATTCGAAACCCCCTATAAATTCGTCATCCAAGCTAAGAAAAACGAACGATTGGAATATACGAATGCTATAGTGTACTGCAGGTAAGGGGGAAGTAGGCCTATCATAATATTCAGACAATCGTTTTATTTGAGAACCAACTCTAACCATTTACCCTCAGTTCTTTTTCTCTTTCTCCCCTTCACTCCCGTCATCACCGTCTCTACTCCCCCCTCTCTCTCTCTCTCTCTCTCTCTCTCTTCATCTCTTCTTTTCCCCTTGTCTTTCTCTCTCTCTTCTTCTTCTTCTTCTTCTTCTTCTTCTTCTTCTTCTTCTCTCTCTCTCTTTCTCTTCCCCTCGCTCTCTTTCTCTCTCTCTCTCTCCCCCTTTCTCCTGCTCATTCCTTTCTTTTTCTCACACCTTTTCTCTATTAATCAGGAATATCTCACGGGTGAAATTTCCAAATTTAGTATTCGAGAATAACACATTTAAAACTGACACTTCTTTGGCCAGTATGCCTATAAGTATGATTTATTTTCAATTAGGTTTATCAATTTCGGATCGTTTATTCTTTCCATAATCATAAGTTTTATGTTATATGTTACAGCCTGAATAAATAATTCACAAAACTAAATGACCGGGTAAACTTGCAATGATAGTCATGCTGATTGCGTTCAATTGCCGCAATATCTTGAGAATTTAAGACAAATATGAATGAATGAATATGATACTAACAATCTGCTGAACATTCAAAAAAATAAGAAGAGGGTTCAGTTTATCTTGTTAATTTAACTTTACTTTCAGATATTCACAGTAAAACCATAGGAAAACATAGACGGATCACAGGTATATATAAATATATAAATACATATGTACGTATATATAACTGGGACGCGTATCTTTGGCACATTGTGTATGCAAGAAATTGTAATTTAAAAAATTGATTCTTGTTTCTTTCTCTTCTACCATTTACAGCTAAACAAGCAAAATTATACATAATAAAAATAATGAAACTTTTATTTACACACATAATACATATACTTACACACCATACATACAAAACAGGAGGTGACAATGTGATAAAATTATGTATGTGTATTACAACATTCGTAAACAAAATATATTTACTTGTCATAAACTCAATAAATCAGCCTCAATTTATATTTGAAATATGAATATTCCTCACTTAACAATAATTAAAAAAGATAATAATAATGACGAATTTATACTATTTGTAACTTCAAATTTTTTGCAAGTATGTAATATGTAATAAGTTGTAATCTATTTTACTGTGTATTATTTGTACTTGTCTACAGTGTAGATCTAAGTTTGGTTAAAATGTTTTTTTAAATCTGAGTGTGTAAAACTTGCAATGTCATTTAGCTCTCGGGCTATCATTTTGCAGTTGTTCTAATAAACCATTCTACTACTACTACTACTACAAATACCAGAACCCTAGGCTTTAGCTATACGTGCATGCATGCCAGTATGTCTCCATTTACCATTTTATAATTTGTCCTTGAACTCTTCATTCGCTTCCAAGTAAACGTTCTCAATCCTCATTATTATCTCCATATTCATGCTAATGCTCAAACAATAGCATCGAATTAAAGTAAACATATAAAGAAATCTACAAGTGAGCCTACATCGTCTGTTCCTTTATCATATAAGTTTGATTCATCAGGCAGTAAAGTACTGCTATTGTACCTGAACTGAATAAATATGTAATATATAAGTTGACAAATATCCTTCAACAGCAACGATAAAATTGGTAGCAGTAGCGTACGCAATCACAGAGGATTTAGTTATTTATTTACTTCTGATATTTAGACAGGGTTACTCATTATCACCAATACTGGTGCTCTTCCATGAGGCCCTGTTAAACATAATGAGGAACAATAGTTTTTAACAGAACAAATATATATATAATGATAATAATAATAATGACAAAATCACGAGCATAAACTCATTACAGCATTAATGAATGAGGAAGAACATGTATAAACGTACATACAAATGGGTACATTTATTACTGCTTACATTATAAAATGATATTTATTTTATTCAATTTATGGAGTCACATTTATGTGAGTCACACCTTTGGATAACCAAGCACAGGCAAATATCCCGGTAACGGCTTATAACGCATAATGAAACCAACATCGTTCAATGCGAGGCTGTGTAAAAGGGAAAGATTTGGCGTTGCCGCTCTGGTGTTGACATATGTTTAAAACAAATAAATGCTGCGGATATAATTGCAGTATTTCACATTTTGCCATGTAAAATTCATATTTTATGACGAATCGTTCAAGGACTTTGAAGTTTTTTAACCGATAGCATATATATATAAATATATATTATATGAGCGGTAGGTTGACTTTGTAAGATTCTCCCCATGCCTTTTCATGGGCGGATCTACGGGGGGGGGGGGGGGGGGTTAGGGGGTTTTACCCCCATTCCCCCCTTGGGCTGCCACGTGAAAATGTGATGTTCATAGAAAAACGCCATTATTTGTCCAAACCCACACAGGGTCAGTAGATGTTAGTAGATGCCAGAAAAACAAAACTTTTGGGGGTTCAAAATAGCAACAACAAAAAAAAATCGCCTATGTGCTCGTGGATCATGCTCCGCATGTAAGTAGATGCCAGGAAAACATCACTTACAGGGATCCAAAATAGCCAAAAGAAAATCGCATCGCCGCTTTGCGGCTCGTGGACGATGCTCTGCATCGTCATTATGAAATAATATTGCTCTGCATCATCATTGGGTTGGGTCAACCCCCTCCCTCCCCCTTAGCAAAAAGCTAGATCCGCCCCTGCTTTCAAATACAAACTGCCTCGCATTGTATTGTTTACGCCGTTTTCTGTGCTCAGTTTTTCGAATTTGTGTCTAACTCTGTTTGTTATATGGTAAAGCTTTTCATTGGTTGCATTGGGATATTATGCCGTGATTGACTTGGGCTTCGAATTTAATCCCAGTATAGTACTGATATTATTTGGCAAGGTATTTATACATATTCTCCACTCTCGTTCCAAGTGTCGGAAATGGATGCCTGGCATGATTCCAATCAAAATGTGCACATATTGGTAGTCAAGTTAAAGCCGGGGTACTATTGGAGCGACATAATCATAATTTGTATTGTGGACATGGGCGATATACAAGAACCCAATACAATTTCGTAACTATAATTCTGTTGTAGTTATCATATACAAGCACTGTTCTTCGAATCAATTGATCGCATTGGAATTATCATGTTCATATAAACAGCTCCTTTATTCATTAATTTTTACCATGTTCATTTTCCCACTGACACCCGTTACGTCGGCGCCACCTTTGCCGTGTTTGTAACGATACAAAGCGTATCCAACTCCACCTGCGATGGCAGCAGCTCCTACTATTGACCCGACGACAATTCCTGCGAGAGCACCAGCCGAGAGTGGCTCAGGCTCAGGAGGGCTAGTAGTAGGAACCTTCGCTTTAGTAGACATCTCTTCCCGTCTAGTAGTCACCGTTGATGTACTTGGATCAGGGATTTCTGGTGCAACTGTTGGTGCACTTGGATCAACAGTTTCTGTTATAAGGGCTGTCTCGATGATGTCAGTGTTCACCTGTGTACTTGCGCCTGTGGTTGACAGTACTGTTGTAAATGGTGTATCTGTGCTCCGAAAAGGTGCTGTTTCCAAATCTGTAATTACCGTTGCTGCACTTGTTGTTTGAGCAGTTATCATGATCGATTTGTAAATTATTGTTATAACGAACAAAGCTACCACGCCATGCTGCCTGTTCTCCAATAATTGCGCCATTCTGTATTGAGAACAAGATTAAATACGAATTTACAGAATGGATATTTCTTAGAATTAGCTATCTCAACACAACTAAAGGATCAATATGATAAAATCCTACGTTGTGCTGCGTGCTGCTTCAGTTGTTCGAATGAAGAGTGTCGAAGTCAACGTATTTACCAAGCGGGGGAACCCGGGGCAAAGTGGAACGCGGGGCAAAGTGAAACACGCCCGGTAAATTTTTGTTAATGCCTATGAATTGTAAATACATTTAAATGAAAAAAAATGTCAAATGAAATTCTCTAATTTTTAGTGCAAAAATATCATTAAATTCTCCACATCGCTGTTTTTTCTTTTTCTAATTAGAATTTATGAACAATGTTATAATTATTTTCACCAACTCATTTTATGATTTTTTTTTCTTCAGGAGTTTATAACATCGAAAAGTCAACAACTTTTCAATCTTATTTCTTTAAATTTTCTTTAAAGTAATTGTGTGTCTTTGCTTTGTGTTACGTTCTCAATAGTCAATCAAGAGTACCTATTACTCGTAGAATCACAAATGAAAAGCACTCTGGGAAAAATTCACTTTATTTCCTTGTGCAAAAAATGTCATTAAGTTCTCCGCTTCACTCCATTTTCATGATGGACAAGAATTACTACTAGTGCAAACTTACCTTTTTTTAATTTTTATGTTGATGTATTCCAAACTAAAGAAATGCTCTTGATGTTGTGTATTGTATCGGATGAGAAACAAAAACCAAAACGTGTCAGACAACCATATCAATCCAATCTGAGGGATTCTTGGCAAGAGCAGGGCAATGTAGGTGTGGTACCCTTTTGATTCGGTCACAATAAATAAACAGCACCATAACAACTACCACAGCACGCCTGAAAAACTGTTGTAATAAAAGACTTAGTTTGTAAACCGATCTTATGCATGGATGTGCTCATAATAAAGCATGCGATAACATACTGTTATTTTTATTGGTACCAATAATTGGGTTATAGTATCAAAGACAAATCTTCACGAGGAAAAATGTAGCAAGGCAGATGAAATATTAAAGGAGTTGTAAAACATGCCTGTACATGACTTGTTTGTTTAATTTATTTCTTTCTGAAGGGATTCTTAGCCACACCTTTAAGCAAAGGGCAAACCTACCTAAACAAACAATTATAATCCGGTAATACCTCTGATAAATACCAAGAAAGTCATAAACCTTTAAAAGGGAATACACCCAAAGAGGCAAACACCTAAAATGTTGATCTCGTGAGTGGCAGGACGTCTGTCCCTTTCTTTAAAGGGACTTGGTAACATTGCTCAGATGAGAGTTGGTGGTGCTAAGGTAGTGACTTCAATGAGAGATGTTAAGATAATCTGTAAATATGAGTGAAAACGGACCATTATTAATTATACAAATTGGGAAAAACTGATCTGATCGATTCCTTAATTCCCTCAACTATTTTATTACAATTTAATTACACTTTAGGTGAATCTAAATCCTCACAAAGCAATAAATTGGCTCTACATACCATTTCAGACAATAAGTGTTGACAGATTTTAATAGCCTGGTTTATGTCATTTTTTTTCGTGGAAAAACGGTTGGGAAAATTCAAAAATGGTTGGGAAAATTTACTGTTAACTACGGTTAGAGGGTATTGCACAGCGACGCCTTCAAAGAAAACCATAGGCCTAGATATCTTCGTGGATTGAGAATTTTTTCAGGATTTTTTGCATGTCAGAGGGTTAATACAGTAGATTAAGCAATTTCTTTCACCAACCTTCAACAATGTTACCGAGTCACTTTCTTTAAGGACCACGATACTGACGGGAACATCGGATCAACAACCTTTGACAACTCACATGATTGACAATGGCGGCCTTGTAAATATTCTTGTATTTTTCTTCAGAGGGTTTATTTGACCACGACCCACTTTTGTTCCTCTCTCTCACATTAATGCTTTCTTTTCTTTGAATTCCTCAAACATGAACATTTTTTAATTTTTTAATTTTTTAAATTTTTGCATAGATATGGATTGCAGTCGAACTTTCAACATTTCTTTCTCAATTGTCATTTCTACAAAATTTAACAATGTGAAAGGTAAAGTTGAATAACTGGTCATGGGATTGCATTTATGAACAACTTGTTTAAACTGAATATCAACCATGCCCTGAACATGTCAAAATGTTGTATTGTTTCTTTTATGTTCTGAAAGAAAAATAAATCAAATAAAAAAGCAACAAACAAGGTTTTTCTGGTTGTGTGACCATATAAACGATCTTTGCATCCCATAAGAAATAATCATTTTTAGTGAATGAATTACAAAGAAATAAAGCAAACAAATTCTCGTTGATGGTATACATGAGTCAATATATGTTTATTTGCTCTTCTCACATTATTCACTGCAACATAATCTTATATTCCAACCTAAATACAAATTGTACAAAAAATAAAATGGCTCGCTCAGCTTTAAATGTCAAACAACCTGATGTGATCTTAAAAAATATAAATATAATAGGAGAAATTAGGAAAAATTAAGATAATATGACAATTTTCACAAACAAATAATTTACAATCTGGCCCAGTGGAGCAAGATTAATTTGTTTTCCCTCTTTCAAATATATATACTTGAACGTCGGAACAAAATTAAGGATCATCCAAAGAACTGGCACATGAATGCTTTGGTACAAATGTATTATTAAAAACATTTTCTTCAAATATCTTAGATATCAGTTAACCCATTGCTTACTGGAACCTGGTGGTCCCTGTGTTAAAGTCAATGTGAATAAGATAATTAAGTAGTCAAAGGGTTAATATTTTTGAGCGGCAAATTATACTTTTACGGCAGTTTATAACACGATCGCGAAGACTTTCGATAAATCAACTAAAGGGCGATTTAGCCCTTTTGTAAACCCACAGAAATCTTCGTCACTCTAATATTCGGACGTTTCAATGCGTCATGGACAAGCCTCTCATCATTGCAATTGGTTGATCTTTCGTTTTTCTTTGCTCTCATTATTGTATAAAAATATAAAGAGTTTACACTTCATACGATGGGCGTAAATATTTACAACCAAATGACAGACGCCTAAATACTATTTTAAAAAACAGCAGCAACAACAACGTTATTGTATAGACAAGTTTTCACATTTTTGTTTGTTGCTGTTTAATTTTGTTCGGAAACCAATCAGAATTTACTACTTTAGCCGCTAATATTCGTTGTTATATTCTAGTAATAATGTACATGTAAAAATAGTTATCTTTATCTCAAGGACCATCCGTGATTATTTGCATTTAGTTTACCCACCATTTCGTGAAGAACAGGGGCCTGTTTTCACAAAATATAGTTTAGCCCGACTAACGGTCCCGACGCGAAGACCCGATTGAACAAAAGAAGCCTGTATCTTCATCAATAACGAAACATCAAATAATCAAATATATTTGCGACTCGAATTTAGCACATGGTTTACACATCACAAATCCTTATCATCATCATGCTACTTTAAAAGAAATATCAAACAATTTTGAAACAATACAAGTAACCTCCTTGTAACTCAAATAAATATGTACACAGGGTATACCTTAAAAACACAATCAATTTGCCAGACAATAACATATTTGATAACTTTTTATGTATGAAATAAAGATCTACCTTTAATATAAATCGTCTCAATATAATAACAACAAATTGGCAACAGGAGGGTACGATATCAAATTATTGATGTGTGTATACATTACTAATTTCTTACATTATATCATGACAGATTTGAAATTAATCAGACATATTATAGCTTACAGCTTTATCACATACCTTTACTTAACTTAGCTTAAGAAACACATATTTGTAAATGATAAGGATGGACAAGGTTATTATTTTTTTTTTACTTTTACACACTATTAACATGTCAATGATCCTAGTGCAACAATTAACGACATAAACACTGGCAGACGAACAAACCACCGCGTGACCGCGATATAAGTCTGAAGAGCGTTAACACCATTTTGAGCTCCAAATCAGACGAATGTTGCTATCAAGGTCACTTCCCGGAATTCTCGCCAATCAGGTTATAATTGTCTCCTGCATTAGCAGCTTCCTCCATACCCACCATGTTAATATGACGATTCCCCTGATCGCTCGGATTAACTGTGGCCCCACCTTTCATATATTTGCCATGATACAAAGCGTATCCAACACCTCCTGCGATGGCAGCAGCTCCTACTAATGATCCTATGATGATTCCTGCGAGAGCACCAGCCGAGATCGGCTCCTCAGAAGGGCTTATGGTTGTGTCTTTCGCTTCAGTAGACACCTTTTCCCATCTAGTAGTCATCGTTGATGCACTTGGATCAGGAGTTTCTTGTATTACTGTTGGTGCACTTGGATCAGGGGTTTCTGATGCTGATGTGGATGCACTTGGATCAGGAGTTTCTTGTGCTGCTGTTGGTGCACTTGGATCAGGAGTTTCTTGTGTTACTGTTGGTGCGTTTGGATCAGGGGTTTCTTGTGTTGCTGTTGGTGCGCTTGGATCAAGAGTTTCTTGTGTTACTGTTGGCGCGTTTGGATCACTTGGATCAACAGTTTCTGTTACTAGGACCGCCTCACTGGTGTCAGGATTTGCAGGCACTGTTGTTGGAGCATGTTGATCAGTAGTCCTGGCAATATCTGTTGGTTCACTTGTATCAATTGTCACTAGCGCTGTTGTAGGTTGTCCCGAAACAGAAGTTACGACTTTTGATGTACTTCTATCTAGAGCCATTGTGACTGTAGTGACTGTATATGGATCTGATTGAGTCATTGTTGCAGCAGTTGCAGTGGTTGATAAAAACGTGGTAGGAGCCGCTGTAGTCGTTAGCAGTGTACTTGCGCTTGTGGTTGATAGTACGGCTGTTGCAGAATTTGATGCAGTGGTGCCGCTCCGGTGAGCCGTTGTTACATCTGTTGTGAATGATGTATCTGTGCTACCAAAAGGTGCTGTATCCAATTCTGTAATTACCGTTGCTGCACTTGATGGAGAGGTTGTTTGAGCAGTTATCATGATCGATTTGTAAATTACTGTTATAACAAACAAAACGACTACGCCATGCTGCCTTTTCTCCAAAATTCGCGCCATTCTGTATTGAGAAAGAGATTAAAAACGAATTTACAGAATGGATACATCATAGAATCAGCTTTCTCTACACCACTATAGGATCAATATGATAAAGCCTACGTTTTGCTCAGTTGTTCGAATGATGAGTATCGAATTCAACGTAATTTTTTCTGAGCACATGCATCCCTTATGTACCTGCATTTTTTCAAAGACAGAAACTTAACACTTTGGTTGCTTCCTTCACCCCTCTGCACGATCGCTCATTTTCCACACGTGCATTTTTTACACAGCAGTAGGCATAAATTGACCCTTTTGTTGTCCGTATTAGTTCCATGAAAATTATTTTAAAACTACTATATCCTAATGATATGGTTGCAATAAACAAGATCAGTCATTGTGATCGTGCAACAATTGCATCTTGCGAGTAATTGGTAATCTATGCTTGACATCATTTTTTGACTGTTAATCAAGTGTGCCCAAAATCATGATTTGACATTTGACACCCTTTGTAATCGGCCGTATATCTATTGTTCACTGTGGGTACCATCTTGATACCCGACGGCCCGGAAGATCGACATGCCGGTCTCATGGCCATATAGAATGATTCTTGAAATAAAATGATATTTGCATTTGAATGAAAACCTTAATCGAAGTGTCCATTTGGGGGTTAATTTGAGAGAGACACAGCTTGGGATAATAATAATAACATTAACAACTGTTACCGGAAATATTATCACAAATATCTTCCTATGCGCTGCAATAGAGAGAAATAAATTAGAGAGAATTAAAAACGGTTTGAAGGTAAAAATACGCTCAGCATACCTACTGAAGTAATTAGTTAACATTGGAAATTTGTGTTTATTTGAGGGGTAGTAATGAAACTTTTGAGAAGAGATCTGATGTTTCTCTTTTTTTGTACGTATGGGGTAAACAATTCAGTCAAATAAGCAGGAATCAATCCTTGCAGACACTTTAACGTTGAGACGAGGATTATGGTGTCAATGTTTGCAACATACCATTACTTAAGTTTTACCCTTCAATTTGGGGGTGTAATATTTGTTCGGGTATTTATTTTATAATTAGAAATTATGAGTAATGTTATAAAGTAATTAATTATTCATTAATCATTACGTTCTCAGTAATAAAGATAAATACCTATCAATTGTAAATATATTCAAATTTAAAACACTCTCAAAAGGAATTATCCTATTTCAGGCGCAAAAATGTCATTTAATATCCCATATCCCCTTTTCATGATGGATAAGCCATACTACTAGTTCAATCTTACCTTTATTAGTTGTTATGTCGATGTTTTCCAAACTAAAAAAATCCTCTTGATGTAGTGTATTGTATCGGATGAGAAACAAAAAACAAAACGTGTCAGACAACCATATCAATCCAATCTGAGGGATTCTTGGCAAGAGCAAGGCAATGTAGGTGTGGTACCTTTTTGATTCGGTCACAATAAATAAACAGCACCATAACAACTACCACAACACTCCCGTAGAACTGTTGTAAAACAAGACTTAGTTTGTAAACCGCTTTTATGCAAGTATGTGCTAATAATAAAGCATGCGATAACATTTCTAAATATTTTTTTTATTGGTGCTAATAATTGGGTTATAGTATCAATGCCATATCTTTATAAGGGATAATGTGTCAAGGCAGATGAAATATGATAGAATTTGTACAACCTGCCTGCACCCGACTTGTTTGTTTAATTTATGTCGTTCCAAAGAGATAAATATCCACACCTTTAAGTAAAGGGCAAACCTACCTAAACAAACAATTAGAACCAGTAATACATCTCAGAAATATCAATAAAGTCATGAACCTTTAAAAATGTATACATCCGGTTAGACTGACACCCAGATGGATCGAAAATGGTGATCTCGTGAGAGGCAGGACGTCTGTCCATTCTTTAAGGATCACGATACCGACAGGAACATCGGACCAACATCCTTTGACTAGCCACACGATTGACAATGGCGGCTTTGTAGATATTCTTGTATTTTGCCTCAGAGGATTCATTTGACCGACAACCCACTTTCATTCAGTATCTCTTACATTGATTCTTTTTTTCCCTTTTAATTCCTCAAACATGAAAATATCATATAATTTTTTATTTGTTTTTCTTCATATGTATGTGGATTGCAGACGAATTTTAAACATTTCTTTTTCAATTCTCATTTCTAAAAATGTTAACAATGTCAAAGGTAAAGTTTAATTACTGGTCACGCGATCACATTCATTGAACGTTTGTTTAAACTTATTTCCAACCATACGCCGCACGTGTCAACATGTTGTAATGTCTATTTTATGTTCGGAAATGAAAATAAATCAAGTGAAATAGCAACGTACAAGATTTCTCTGATTGTGTGACCGTATAAATGAGCCTTGCACGCCTATAAGAAATAATAATTTTTAGTGAATAATTTACAAAAAAATAAAGCAACCAAATTCTCGTTAATGTATACATGAGTCAATCTCTGTTTATTTGCTCTTCTCGTATTATACACTGCAACATATCTGTTATATTCCAACCTAAATGCAAAATGTACACAAAAATAAAATGGCTCGCTCAGCTTTAAATTTGAATCATCCTGATTGTGATTTTAACAAATATACAAAATAATAGGAGAAATTAGGAAAAATTAAGATAATACGACAATTTTCACAAACAAATAATTAACAATCTGACCCAGTGGAGCAACATTAATTTGTTTTCCTTTCAAATATATATACTTGAAAGTCGGAAAACATTAAGGATCAACCGAAGAACTGGCACAAGAATGTTTTGGTACATATATATTATTCATAACATTTTCTTCAAATATATTAGATAATAGATAATATTTTTGAGCAGCAAATTATACTTGTATGACAATTTATTACACGATCGCAAAGACTTTCGACAAATAAACTAACGTTTGGATTACATTCTACGTCACTGTAATGTTCGAACTTTTCAATGCATCATGGACAAGCCTCTCGCCATTGCATTTGGTTGATCTTTCGTAATTCTTTGCCATCAATATTGTATACCAATATATACAAAGTTTACATGAAAAAATACAAAAGAGATACGTAACAATACATGTACGATGTTATCTTAAATTGCTTACCCAAAAGAAAGGAAAGGAAAGAAGAATAAGAAGCAGAAGGAGAAGATGATGAAAAAGAAGAAGAAGAAGAAGAAGAAGAAGAAGAAGAAGAAGAAAAAGAAGAAGAAGAAGAAGAAGAAAAACGCCCGTGTCATTAGTCATCTACCTTTATGTTCGCCTATACACCCATGATTTCCATTATTTATCTCCTAAAATGCAGTTTGTTATGCACAACATAATCTACGTCCTAGATCCTAATCATCAGGCTTACTTCGTTCAATCGGATCTTCACGTCTTCAGGTTACACGACCTTTCGTGAATAATTAAGCCACAATTTCCTTAGGGTCGGGTTTGTAAAATACAGCCCTCTCACCACCCAAAGTGTTGGGTCCAGTTTACCCGACATTTTCTGGCAAACCTACAGCAAAACTGAGAAAAATTGCGTCTCGACCTGACACTTTTGAATACGAGCTAAATATCTTTTTTGATTTGATTTGACTTTCTTTTGCATTCATGCAAGTACACAGCTTTTCGATAATAATACAAAGTAAAAAAGGTACTTTTGCTGACATTGAAACATAAATAAGCAAATATATAAAATAATTGTTATTTTCAAAAATGAAATGATAAACGGTCATAAATACTAAATTCCTCAAACATTAGAAATTATTTGCACAAGAAGGACTGTCATTGTATTAAAGCAGATTGCTTGATAAAACGACAGCTCAATAACATTCATAATAATATTCATTAAAGTTCGTAAAAAGGCTAGTGATCGACACTTCGCCCGCAACAGGAGGATACGATAGTCGTAAATATTAACAACTGAATGATACACGCCTAAAAACTAAACAAATCGCAGCAACAACAACGTTATTGTATGTTTTCACAACTTATTTTGTTACTGTTTAATTTTGTTCGGAAACCAGTCAGAATATATTATTTTTGCCACTAATATTTGTGGTTATATTCAAATAATAATGTACATGTAAACAAATTATCTTTAACTCAATAACCACCATCTTTGGAAAGGAAAGTGATTATTTGCATTCAGTTTACCCGACATTTTGTGTCACAAAATATAGTGTAGCCCGAATAACCGTCCGGACTCGTAGACCCGAATGAATAAAAGAAGCCTGTTTATCATCATTAATTACGAAACGTCAAATAATTTTGCCACTATAAAAGTGAAATGATATATTTGTGACGCAAATCAAGTACATGGTCTACACATCATAAATCTTTATCATCATCATGCAATTTTGAAACAATACAATAATCTCTTTGTTACTCAGATAACTATGTACAAACATACCTAATTTGAAAGACAATAAAATATTTGATAACTTTTTTATGTATGAAATAAAGATCTACATGTATCTTATAAAAATCGCTACAATGTAACAACATCAAATCGGCAACAGGACGGTACGATATATAATAAATGATCTGTGGATATATTACTAACGTCTTACATTATAACATGACATATTTAAAATAATCAGACATACTATAGCTTATAGAATTATCACATACCTTAACTCAGGGGCGTAAATCCGTACCGAGGAGTGGGGCGGATGATCGGCGATAGCCATCACATACTAGCACGAGCACACGCCCACACTAATTTACGCAAGCGCGCGCGATCGCGCACGCACAAAAACACAACACACACACACACACACGCTCGCTCATTAGGGGTGTGTGGTGATAGGCCTACCGCGCGAAGCGCGGAAGCTTAGACGTTTCCTTAAATTATTATAAAAAGAAGACGATTTGCTGTACCGTTTTCGACTCTTAATAAGCCATATTTATCTGAATTCAGTTCCCCCCTCTCGCGCGAAGCGCAGAAGCCTCGTCGTTTCCTTATCGTGACATACTGTATACGTGTAGGCTATACATAAACAAAATAACTCATTTCTCATGCATTATGCTGAAATTGAAACAATCACATTTTTGTCTTCTTCTTCTTCTTCCTTTTTTTTCCTCTCTTTATTTTTTGGTAATATCAGGGGGGGGGGTGATTGTACAGGCCATCCCCCCTACTTCAAGCCAGGGGGGATGCAGCCCCCCCCCCCACCCCCCGGGATTTACGCCCCTGCCTTAACTTAACTTAGGCTAATAAACACATATTCGTAATTAATAAGCAAGCACAAGGTTATTCTTTTTTTTTTTAACTTTCACACACTATTAAAATGTCAACAATCCTAGTGCAACAATTAAGGACATAAAAACTGTCATACTCAAGGCTTGTTCATAGGAGACATTATACATTTTTCACATAAAAACCACCTTGAAATCATTTAGAAATACTTTTATTATAAGATCTCGAATTCCCACCTCAACATGGCATAAAGGCTATGTACCGACCAAACACTGTTAATTTTTTAGTGTGCAGAATAGATTACCATGCATAGGCGCCGGAAGTGGGGGGAGGGGGGGGGGGCAAAACGCAATTCCCCCCCCCCCCAACGCCCCCCTCCAAAAAATCACATACAAAATTCCATTCAAAGAAAAGGAATGTTAACAGAAATTAAAATTTCCTAAACATTCCGCATGCCACCTATATTTATCAATGGAGGTTTTTATATTATCGATACGCGCATATCGTGGAAATATTGTGAGAGGATAGAAAGCGTTTGTGTTTTTTGTTATAGGGGTGAGAAGACATGAGCCCCTGAACGCTGGTGTACTGATGGGGGGGGGGGGTATTTCTTATTCGATACCACTTTCTTACAAATGTTACTGAAATGACAAATTATTTTCCGGTATTTTTCTCAATTTTTTTGGAAGTCATACCTTTTTATGCATTTGTTGGAAAATTAAAACTTCCCATATTAACAGTAGGGCGAAAATTATGCTTATTTAGAAGCCTTCATGTTAAGGCCTGCAGAACGGCTGGGCTCGGGGGCTCGAGCCCCCCTCACTTTTTGAAATATTATGTTCAGACAAAAAGAAAGAAAGAGAGAGAGGGGAAAAATAAGTGACCTGCCAATGTCACAAATGAGGTATCAAAATATGCTCATCTAACCCTAATCAAATGCCTAAAACCCCAGAGCTTTCGGGGGCTCTGCTCCCTAAACCCCACTAAGGGCCCTAAGGCGGGCCCCCGGATGCTCATCTGACCTTTATTAAATACCTAAAACCCCTGAGCTTCCGGGGGCTCTGCCCCCTGGAACCCCACCTAGGGCCCTTAGGCGGGCCCCTGGATACTCATCTGACCGTAGTTAAATATCTAAAACCTCTGAGCTTCAGGGGGCTCTGCCCCCTGGACCACATGAACGGCCTTAAAGAGGGCCCCTGGATGCTCATCTAACCGTAATTAAATACCTAAAACCCCTGAGGTTCCGGGGCCCCGCCCCCCGGACTCCCCCGCCAATTAGTGACATGCCAGTGTCACAAATAAGGTATCTAAATATGCTTTTCTGACCGTAATTTAATGTCTAAAAACCCAGAGCTTCCGGTGACTCAGCCCCTTGACCCCCTGCCGGAGCTCAGGCAATGGACCCAACGCCAATTTACGCTCTACCTGATCGTTGATACGCCGCTTTAAAAGAGCGTCAACTCTGTGTTAAATTTATATATATATATATATATATTGGCCCAAAAAGAGACGAATGTTGCTATTAAATTCACTTCCCGGAATTCTCGTCAATCAGATTAGAATTGTCACCTGCATTAGCAGCTCCTGTCGTCATGGATCCTTCCTCCATACCCGTCATGTTCATTTCGCCATTAGCATGATCGCTCGGAGTAACTGTGGCACCACCTTTCATGTATTTGAAATAATACAAAGCAAATCCAACACCACCTGCGATGGCAGCAGCTCCTACTAATGACCCGATGACAATTCCTGCGATAGCACCAGCCGAAAGACCTTCCTCTGGGGGACTTGTTGTGACTGGAGGTGTCGTTCCTTCTTCTTCTCTTTCCGTGGTTGATGAAGCGCTTGGATCAGGGGTTCCTTGTGCTGCTGTTGGCGCACTTGGATCAGGGGTTTCTGGTGCTGCTGTTGGTGCACTTGGACCAGGGGTTTCTGGTGCCACTGTGGGTGCACTTGGATCAGGGGATCCTGGTGCTGCTGTTGGAGCACTTGGATTAGGGGTTTTTGTTGCTGCTGTTGGAGCACTTGGATCAGGGGTTTCCGGTGCCACTGTGGGTGCACTTGGATCAGGGGTTTCTGGTGCCACTGTCGGTACACTTGGATCAGGGGTTTCTGGTGCCACTGTCGGTACACTTGGATCAGGGGATCCTGGTGCCACTGTTGGTGCACTTGGATCAGGGGATCCTGGTGCTGCTGTTGGAGCACTTGGATCAGGGGTTTCTGGTGCCACTGTTGGTGCACTTGGATCAGGGGATCCTGGTGCTGCTGTTGGAGCACTTGGATTAGGGGTTTCTGGTGCCACCGTTGGTGCACTTGGATCAGGGGTTTCTTGTGCTACTGTTGGTGCACTTGAATCAGGGGTTTCTTGTGCCACTGTTGGTGCACTTGAATCAGGGGTTTCTGGTGTTCCTGTTGTCACACCTGGATTAGATGCTTCTGGTGGTGTTGTTGGTGCACTTGGATCAGGAGCTGCGGATGCTACTGTTGATGCACTCGGATCGAGGGTTGTTCCTGAAGTTGTTGCACTTGCACCTATAGTTTCTTGTGTTCCTGTTGTCACACCTGGATCAGATGTTTCTAGTAGTGTTGTTGGTGCACTTCTGCCAGATGCTACTGTTGATAATGTTGCAGTTGGATCTGGAGTTGACGTGGATGTTAGTCCTGTTGTTAGTGCACTGGTATGAGTATATGTTGCTGTTGTTGTTGCGTCTGTATCATCGGTTACTGGTGTACCTGGATTAGAAGTTGCGTTATCAGTCGTTGTTTCTAGTGTGGTTACGCTAGTGGTGTTAAATTCAATTGTTGACGGATCTGATGAAGTTGTCGTTAGAACGTCTGTTGTAGGATCTGTTGTCGTTAACTGGGTGCTTTGACCAGTTATCATAATCGGTTTGTTAATTATAGTTATAATAAACAAAACGATCAGCTCGTGCAGCCTCATCTCTGATAGTTGGGCCATTCCGTACTGGGAAAAGGAGAGAAAGAAAATAAAAGAAGGAATTTTGAGAACAATCAACAGCTTTACCATTAATTTATTAAAGTTTGTCCACCCAAAAGAATAGGAAGGAGGTAGATACAGGTAATTTAGACTTCTACCAACCTTACAACTTAAAAGGCAACCTTTCATCGACTCATGTAGACTTTCTCAAGTCAGGTGATTCTTCATACAGTGGAGATTGAAAGTGAATGTTACCTTTTAAGGCAATGTCAAAATTGCTCGTCCACAATATTCATAAAAAGTTGATCCGCCCTCATCCAAAATTCTGCCCGTATACCCATTAAAGTGGCTCAGATATAATGGACTTTTTCTCTAACATCTTATGTCTGTTGTTTACTTTTTTGAAAGCCAGTCTCCTATACTTGTTTTAATTGTTTTTTATTTAATTTGCTAGAAAGCCGCCTTGTGAGCATTAATTGTTCGGAAGATAGACCTACATGGATATCGTACCCTTTGTGAAGCGTTTAATACGATAAAGATGTACCTTTTGATGACAAAAAGAACAACAATCGGTCTTTTGGGACCGATTTTTTGTGTGACTCAAATGCGGATGAGAATACGCCACCTCGCTATTGAACCTTGCATTGCAATCATTTTTGAAATATTTGTTTAAGGAAACGAAAGGTTGAGTCACGTGGTTCTACCGTGGGACGATTTTTTTGTCGGGGGGGGGGGGGGTCTCAGATTAATCCAATACTGTGTCCTATAGCAACCCGATATGTCAGGCATAGACTACAAAAGAAATCGATCTTTTTATATGGATCAAACTTTACGACATTGAGTGTCACCCTAGCTTCTGAACCATGAAAGGTTTCATTATGATTCAGCAAAAAATGGCTTTAAAAAAAAAATCCATATCTTGTGCAATTCAACATGTTCCCGGGCAATGTAATAATGATGACGGACAGTTTTTTTGGAAACCTCACCAAATTTGGGAAAAACTCATATTTAATTAAATAGATATGTGTGTGTGTGTGTCTGTATGTGGGATGGCAAATGTTCCCCTTCGCCCCTTCAACTGAGTATGGGGCAGTTGTAGCAGAGCCATACCACATGCTAAATCGTGCGTATATGATTTAGAAGAGCACGTTTATTCGATGATATGAACGTTAAAGACAAATTAGGTTAATTTGGCGTCGATCCGGGGATAAACTCGGAAGTTTATTTGAATTAAATTTAATTGAGTTGGGATTCATTCAAAAGAATCCAGATAGCAGCACAAGGGCTGAATTGCATGAAGAATACAAAGTAAAATCACCCCCCCCCCCCAAAAAAAAAAAAAAAAAAAAAAATACAAATCTGTACATACATTGATAACACAGAGCCGAGTACTTCAAAAGATCTTTCTGTAAAGGCTCCATTATATGGAATGCATTTTTTTACGTTTATTAAACTTACTGGATTCATTTAAAGAACACTACAAACTCCTTCCCTCACATAATTTAAATTATAATTGATACTTATATGTACATGAGTATTATATCCCCCCACTCATTTTAACATTATATCTTGTTTAATGTGTGTGTTCGTTATAACTTATATATGTTAAAATGTTTTGTCAATATTTGTTTGATTATGTTGATAGAACAGTCTAGCCCCTTGCTAGCACAGTTTTTTTTTTATAACTGAGAGGGCTTCCCAGTTAAAATAAAACGACAAAAAAGTACATGTATATCATAGTCATACAATAATATAAGGAGAAACAGAGAGAGAGAGAGAGAGGGATAGAAGAGACAGAAAGGAGAGAAAGAGAAACAACGATATTGTTGCACAGATGTGTCAGTCTAGAGGAAGAAGAGATTATTAATAAGTATAATAAGTGAGTTGATTGATTAACTAACTAACAGTTGCTATGGTTTGGATATTCGGCATGGTTAAATTATTTACATGAGAATAATTTATCATTCGCATAATGAGACCTATTATTCTCTTAAAAATTGATTCACAAATTGAGGGGCATTTCTCTAAATGCTGGTTCTAAATAAGTGGCCCCCAGCCGACTCGATGCGGCCCGCCAAAAATATAAAGTTTACATTGGAAGACGGACCTCCGTATCAAATGTTCAACTATCTTAATATCCTAAATTCTATCAAATTATTTATCATTATGGGGACAATCGACTTGGTATATCCATATTTTACGCTGCTAAAGCCGTCACCCAAAGTAGACAAAAAATACAATTTAAAAATAATTTATATCGTAGCCTCTTTTACATCCAAACAAATCTCTCGGTTTACTGTTTTCGTTTTCACTTTGTTTCAATTAATATTTTAAAGGGTGTACCCATATTCTTGGACGAGTTTCGTTTTTAGAGAATTACCATGGATAAAAATACTACGCCAACTTATTTGAAGAATACACATCTTGCATTGAGTCTTAAATTTTAATTCAGGTGCCAGCGTAAAGATAATTGGTAAGACAAAAACTCGTGGCTCCGACGTATATTTATTATAGAGTATGGAACCCGAACATACAGAATTTTTATTTTGTATTCATAGTCCTGTATATTTTTACAAATAGCAATAAAAAGGAAAGAGACTTTTTTTTGTTTTTTGAAAGAGGTATTTTTCCCATTGGCTGTCAATGTTGTTTTCTCTATTTTGCCTTAAATATTAATTCAAAAGTGGCGTACTTAAACGAACTTTCTTTTACGAATAATAATCGAGACGAATAATGCAAAAAGCTTTCATTTTTCATTTAAATGAAAATGTAAGTAAGAGTTCGGGTGGGGTGGGGAGGACGGGCTGTCATTAAAAAATAAAAGTCGGGAAACACGATGTATCTGTTTGGAAGACCCTTTAGACAATCGAAAATGTATTTTACCTTATTTTGTCCCTTAATTTTGATAGTATGATCGTCGCTCATCTATTCATACTCTCATCTAAAATTGATGGATGATTTCGTGGTTATTACACCAACCCATTTTTCAACTCATATTTTTCGTGAAGATTGTAACCTAGAGAGGCAAACATTTTGTTCTTCAAATTTGATGAATATATTTTGTTAATTTGATTCAAATGATTAGTTAAAAATGAGTTCTTTGTGGCTAGAACTAGAACTTGAGATGTTAAACTTTAAGATGCGTAAGGATAGCAGTGATATTTAAACTTACCTCTGATATTTGTTGGTAATGTATTCCAAAATAAAACAGTCCTCTGGGAATTGAAAATTATACGAGGCCGTAAAATTAAATTTCGGACGACCATGTAAGCCTGCGAGTTCAATCTTAGTGATTCGTTCGGAAGGAAGGGTTGTTTTTATATAGATTGGCGTATTCTGATGACGTATAAAATTAATAACCATGACAACAACCATAACACTCCCCCTAAATTAATATTCTGAAGTATTTTTTTTCAAAAGCCTTAATGATCATTGCGAGGGTAGAGTACATGTTAGTTAATGATTTATCAGACAAAAAAAAAAAAAAAATCGTTATTGGTGTACTATTTGGTGAGAAGACGTAAAGATATCTTATCTATGGTAGACATGGGGGGTAGGGTGAATCGACAGATCTAAAAATATCATAATAGGAACTTTAGAATTTAGAACTTCCGCGCGAGAACAGATATTTCGAAGAGGGGAGAGCTTTGTGACAAAGCTTATTGTGGCATTATAACTTTCATCTCTTACTGAAGGAAACAATATTTTGGTCATTAACCTTCGAGCAATTTGTGGCACCAACGAGCTCTGTGTACGAGTTACAATTGGCTACAGTTTACAACTAATTTTTTCTCCTGAGCTCCATAGCAACAAAAAATGTAATGAAGATACGAAACATAGACAATAACAGTTAAACTCACGCTCCTTAGGAAATTTATTCATATCACAAAAACGGTGTGAACAAGTAAATATGATACATCGTTGTATGTATTGTTAAAAGCCTTATATTACATTCATCATTTGTATCGTTGTTAATGCAAGGAAAGTGGACAAACATTCATGATAACAATATTTATGATCTTTGATTGTATCTCAAGGTGTGCTTATGGATGAATTTATATTAAAGGGATTGGGTTTATTTGTCTCAGATTCTAAACAAAATCCTGGATTCACCTAATGCTGAAATCATCATTATAAACCTTTAGGTCAGTCAGGAATCCATGACTTTTAGAAGCCGATCGCCTGTCTGATTATCAAGATATTAATGACTGGAATTCGAAATTTCAAATACTGTTTGCCCAAAAGTTTTTATTACACTACAGTCTATTGGGGAAAATGAGTATGGTAAAACCGATCACTTAATGATTTTAACTTTTTGAGGCACTTAATGGTAATTTTGAAGCGCAATTTATTAGGGCTTCAATATTATACTATATCACATACACTGATAACACGTAGGGCCATGCATCTCAGATTTGTAGAATTGGAAACATTGTTTAACAATGCCTTTAAAGAAAATCTACATTTCAGACGCTTATCAATCACAATTATTATGAACTGCTGAACGTCATGTCGTCTCGAAATGCCGTTTTGCTAGTTATATAGTTGGCTAAGATTTTTTTTTGCATCCACGAGCAATAAACACGATGTAGGTCTTAATATAAACACGTGAATTATTATGAAAATTTGAAATTTTTTAAGAATAAAAATACGAGCAGACACAATGCATATGAAAGAACGATCCTTTGAATACATTTTTGGGGTACAAAATGTGTCTAAAAGAGGGCCGGCGATACAGGGTCGATGCCGCCCCCCTGATTTGGCAGAATTATTCACAATGATTTTATGTACACTGTATTTGAAATAAGAGTATCGAAGCTGTGAGGTCATAAAAATCTATTTTTAGAATTTCTCATTTTTTTTTTCATTTTCCGAAAGAGCATCAAAAATAATGTCCAAATGTCGAAAACCAATTTAATATGTTACGTATTAGCTGAGATATAACCATCTGAACACATATATGCTCTGGCTCCTAACCGTTAGGAGCCAGAGCATATAACACTGAGTTCCTATAGGAAATATATGTATTCAGATGGTTAGATCTCAGCCAATACCTAACATATTAAATTGGTTTTCGACATTTGGACAATATTTTTGATGCTCTTTCGGAAAATGGAGAAAAAATTGAGAAATTCTAAAAATAGATTTTTTGATGACGTCACACTCCACCACTTTGAAATCGTTAAATGCTATTTTTCTCTGGCTTGTCAGCAAACAAAAAACAAATAAACGAAGTAAAAGCAACAATGGTACATCCCCTAGTTTAAGAGTAGCAAAGCTATTCTTTTGTTGTAGTAATCATCTAAATGATAAGTTTGCATGACGCAGCTGTACGTTCTAACTGTGCAATGTTTGCAGGTTGTTTAGCAGGTTGTACATACTAATCTGAATATCATATTTGCTTTATACATTTAATTTATAACCTAACAAATCATTTTTATATCTTTCTTTATAATGACATTGGTGGCACTTATGGGCATACAATGCTACAAATATATACATATATCTCTTACCGCATGATTTCATGACGTCATACCATAAAATACAATTTCATATTTACAAGAAAGACCGAAAGAACTTCTACATAATAGGGCTGTTAAATCCAAGGGAAACAAATGTTAATATGAAAAGCATTTATTATTATCATTGCAGCTTTATCATAGAAATGTATTTGTCTTAATGTACAGAATGATGATGATAAATCTAGATTTGTTTTAGTTTTAGTTTATGAACAATCACATTGCATATAGATTTTATTGGCAATAGATGAATAATTGATTTACATCACACAAACGTACTACTATAAGCACTATTTTGCCAGGAAGGAATGATGCCTCTTGCTCCCATATCAAGCTAGCGATTTTCTTTTCTCGATTCTGCGATCGAAAGAAGCTATTTAAACAAACAATTTGTATTATACTTTTTTATGATAATATCAATTGTAGTCATGGTCGGTGCATTCATTTATATATAGTCTCTAACTATGCTTTTGCCAGTGAAATGTACTGCGCTGAGACAAAAAAATCACAAGAAGTCCACCTTGTTGCCGAACTTAAGGTGACAGATTCTTGAATGCCAATACTTTCAATTTTCTTTTTTGCATAATATTTCTATGAGAACAATAACAAATCAAGTTACGAATTGAAATTGAATTACATATAGGCAGTATCTCACAGTCATGTCATTCTTGAAATTACGCCTGGGATTGACCATTATCAGGGGGAGTTAGCTTTGTCTTGTCGTTTACATCATCAATATTGTCCGTAGATATATTCGCTATCTCGATATCGTTGCTCATCGGAGTAACCTGTGAGGCTTTCTTGAAGTGAAACACGGCGAAACCAATACCACCTGCAATAAGAGACACTCCCACTACCGAACCAATGACAATTCCTGCGATAGCACCAGCCGAAAGACCTTCCTCTGGGGGACTTGTTGTGACTGGGGGTGTCGTTCCTTCTTCTTCTCTTTCTGTGGTTGATGAAGCGCTTGGATCAGGGGTTTCTGATGCAGCTGTTGGTGCACTTGGATCAGGGGTTCCTTGTGCTGCTGTTGGCGCACTTGGATCAAGGGTTTCTAGTGCCGTTGTTGGTGCACTTGGATCAAGAGTTTCTAGTACTACTGTTGATCCGCTTAGTTCAGGGGTTCCTGATGCTGCTGTTGGTGCACTTGGAGCAGGGGTTTCTGATGCTGCTGTTGGTGCACTTGGATCAGGGGTTTCTGATGCTGCTGTTGGTGCGCTTGGATCAAGGGTTTCTAATGCTGCTGTGGATGCGCTTGGATCAGGGGTTTCTGATGATGCTGCTGTGGATGCACTTGGACCAGGAGTTTGTGATACCGTTGTTGGTGCAGTAGGATCGAGAGTTTCTGTTTCCGTTGTTGATGCACTTGGAACAAGAGTTTCTAGTACTACGGTTGGTGCGCTTGGATCAGGGGTTTCTGGTGTTCCTGTTGTCACACCTGGATCAGACGTTGTTTGTGTACTTCTGCCAGGTGCTACTGTTGATATGGCATCCAATGTGGTTGTCATGCCGGGTTCACTAGTGGTTAGGATATCTCCATCTGTTACTAAATCTGTATATGTGTATGTGGCCGTGTCCAGACCCGTAGTAGTTTGAGCTTTACACAGATTACTTTGTGACAGCAGGACACTGATGCAGATCCCGAAGCAAAGAACAGCGATCGTTGTGGAAGAAGCCATGTTCTATTTGAAAGGGTAAGAAAGGGAGAGAAAGAGAAACACACAAATTAATATGTTCTGCCTTTAAGTTCTTTATAACATGTAAAAAGACATTTGGTAGTAGTTACCTTAAAATTTGTTAGCTTTTGATAGTCGGATTTAAACTATCTATCATATTTTTGACGTGAGGGAAAGTGGCCATCAGCGGTCCTGTAATAAATACAATATTGTGGAGTGGGTTAAAACATCAAAAGTAATATGTACCCCACCTCCCTTTCAAACAGCACACTGTATGATACAACATAGACGTAAATAATGTAGAGAATAGGCAAACATGAATCGACTGTCCCCTGGTACAAGCGGGTTTTGAAAATACTTTTCGTGAAAATGGTAGCATTAGGCAGGAAATTCGTTCTTCTTGACAGTAAAATATTATTCAAGCTCACATATGTTATAACTTTTTAATTAAAAGCTACCAAAGACGAGGAAACCTTTTTTGATACGCACTGTATACATATGCACATTTTAAGTCAAAGTGCTAGTCAACGAAAAGGAATGGAAAGGACCTTCAATACATATAGAAGATAAAGTTAGTATGGACCTGTTCATTGTACACGCACTCATACAGTCACATACACTATGGCACATACATACAAATCGGCAGATTATTGCATTCGAATATGCAATATTCTGTCTTCTATATGAGGATCTATAGTACCAATCTCCCTGAACATATTAAACGCTCGGCGCGAAATCCAGACAACGATGAATAAAATTTGATCATATTGCATTATTACGTCTTCATTTTAAGTAGGCCTTTTGTTAATTGACCGAACTTTTTCAAATCTTTCTATTCTCCCCTCAACCCTTGTATTTTGCTGCTGTATATTCTGCATATTATAGTATTCCGTATTTGAGAGTCATGAGGGTAGATAGAGAGAATAAAATTAGCATCCCGTAATGTTATTGCATATTTATGTATAACTTCTCTTCTGCTGTCGCCTTTCTTTTTGTTATGTTACCAGGAGAACACATAAATAATGATAAACAATATTTGTTACATGAGTTAACGCATTTTCTTGATGCTCCGAACATAACCATGAAAGCTATTATCACATAAACCTATGGTTTTCTATTGAAAGGTAAGCTAATGCAGAACCCCGAAGACGTCTTCAAATTGATCAACAACCAAATACTATAGACCTTTGATAGATAGTATCTTAGCAATGGGCAAACAAACACGCAAATGCCACCAAATAAAACGAGATTTTTATCTACGGAAACGCTCCCCCGCGGCTCCAGTAAACTTTAGAAGACCTTAAATGAACTGTCGCACAACTTAACTTATCTCAAATTAGAATGATCTTCTGAATTAACTCAATAATGTATTGACATATAATGTTACTTCGATCTTATTCCACAAACACGGTGCACCCTGTCTGCAATTGGGGCATTGCAGTACGTTGAATAGTCAGGGTAGGTGCCCATTAATACAATCTGGTAAAAAGAAGCAATATAGATTAAAAGTGACGAGGTTCGAACCCATGACCTACGTACCTCTAGTCGAGTGTTCACCACTCCACTACGAGACATCTAAACACCTATGTAGTTATAGAGAAAGGGGGATTCTTTTTGGTAATGAATTTTTGTTAGGAATATGCTCATCGATTGGTGAGCTACAAATATATTTACTTCGGTTGATTTCCAGATAAGATCGGAGCGGTTAAAAGTAGCACAAAGCCTTCAAATTAATAATTCTAAGGCTGGTCTGAAAAATAACTTAGTCTTTATATAAACCCCAAAACAAAAGAGATTTGTTACTGAACACAAAAGGTTAAATGCTCCTAATCAACCTTCCTATCTTTGAAGGAATGATATGGTTAATGATCATAAACTGACAGCCACTTACTAGAAATTCTGTAAAAACTGTATCATATACTGGTAAAATGTTTACAGTAACAGATAATTTATAATTAATGATTAATTAATTGCTATCTAGATGATATTTTCTACCTTTATTCTTTCATGGATTTTTTGGAGTAAAAAATAAACGTTTCTGCGGGAATGACTGGACTTTAGCCAAAAAAAAAAAAGTTTCTAGAAATGGTTGGCCGAATGACGACTTTTTTTGTGAAGCTGGTGCCATATGTTTCTGGGATGATATATTTGATAAGACATAGGGGGAATAAAAAAATCATGTCTGAACATGTAATTATTTGTTAAATGGGTGAATTTATATTTTAATTTGTTAATGATAACACAGGCTCATAAATTTGAAGGTCGGTACGGAATCGTTTCGTTAGATTAAATAAATATCATTGTCTTTTGTATTAATTCATAATCTATGACACTCGATTAGAAAGATACAAAAGAGAGAAATTTAAGTGCCCACCTCAAGAACAGCAATCAATGATGGTCTTTAAAAAGAAAGTTGATTAATTGTAAAGATGAATATTAATATATGAGCTTGATTATTCTTTATATGTCTGTTTTGGAAACATTTTCATAGAATTCCTATAATGGATTGCTCTTCCATTGGACTTATATTCGAAATATGGCGGGAAAAAAGTTTAGACCAAACTGTCAAGCCACGTTAGCCCTAAATAACAATTTCAGTCATCTCCAGCAAGATTTATTTTATTATGATCCAGTCTATCCCTCACAGAATAAATCACTTTTTATGTACTATATAGTCAACATTTCCTACTTGCTTTAACCCATTTAGTTCACAATGTAATCGCATGACCGGTACTCAACTTTTTCTTTATCATAAACTTTACACTTGAACATTAAACGAAACTCGGTCTTGATTGTAGGAGACTAAACGTTTACCTCTCAAACAACTGATGTGTATCTTTAAATAGAACAACTTTGAATAAAACCAGGGTCTCACCTCCCTGATAAAACGGTGACTAAATGTAGATAATGTGATTGTAAACTATGATAATGTTATAATGATTAAATGGTGTGCGGCAAACAATCTCTTGCAGCCCTAGTGCAGCTGTTGTGGTTGGGGGGGGGGGGGGGGACACAATGATCTCATATATTGTTTAGCAGTTCTCATTTTGGCTTTGCAGCATATATTGAAATAGACTCACAACGATCTTATCTTTGTTGATATATTAGCCTTAAATTGTCAAAACGCTCTTATTCCATTAATTCTTTCTTGTTTTTTTTTTGTTCTTGTTCTTGTTCTCCACCTCTCAGAAGAACAAAGCCATTAAATTAATGGCCCTGAACCTCTTGATCCACCCGTATTTTGAAAAGTAATTGTCATTTTTTTGTTTTTTTCATATGTATGAATATATGTTTTTGACAAGGAAATATCCCTAACCAAACCAAACCTACACGATCTACCATGTACTTTTAGTAGAACGCCTGGATTCGTGAATGTAATACAACTTTGAAATTATGATTGTGTCTCAACTAATCGTAACGAAAGCAATTCAATTTTGACTGTTGGATAATTAGTGCCACGAGAAGAGTGGGATAAATTCCAAATGCTGCATCATTCCCTACATATTCTCTTGGAATTTCTATAAAGAGTGCCCTTGGCCTCAATATCGACGGCCGAAGTCATGAAAATCCTTTACGATATCTTTTTCTGTTACACTTTGCTCCGTATACAACTTGGGCAATATAACAGAGATATACAAATAAATAAATTATGGATTGAGTAGTTACATTGGGACAAAGAATTGGACTCTCGTCAAAGCATATTTCTCATCTGAGAAATTTATCTATTTTTATACCGCCTTCTTGCAGGACCGACTAAATAACGCTAGTATGCAAACTTGGAGAAATTAGGGCAGGAAGTAAACGTCAGGAGAGCAAGAAGTTGAAAGAGAAAGAGAGTAAGATTAAGATATATATATATATATATATATATATACAGCATGAGAGGCAGACGTGTATTGTTTTTTTTTTGGGGGGGGGAGATAGATGATTAAGGATTGTTATCCTCGATATCGTTTCAAAATAAAAAGACAGTATAAAATTCACTTTCCCTTTTTATCAATGACCAGTTTGAGCTCTCTGGTATGACCGTGTACAAGGGCGGGTTTTTCTTTCTCTTTTTCAAATCTAACATTCCTTATTATTTCTGTGTTGCAACCAACACTTGAGGTTGGATTTCAATTACAATTAAAAGGCAAACAGATAAATAACAATGATAGGAAAAAATGAACACAACGTCTAAGAAACTGTCGAGTTTGAAACATGATCATATGGATAACAATGTTCTACATACAATTAAATCATTACGTTATAAAATATACTAAAGTAAGCTCATGAGTATAAAATTTCATCTTGATTGTATATCATAATATCATAATTAATTCAGGTATATGTTTCTATAAATTGAGTATTTTATAATGAAGTTGATTAAAATATATTCTTTTGTACTTATATAGTTCACGCTGTTTTATAGAAAAATATTTTTTTCTCTCCACTACTATAAATGTAAATACATCAAAATCAAAATTTAAAAATTCTAGATCCATTCAGCATATCAAGAATATGAGCAAACGAAAAAGGAACTGGCACAATCTTTGCTTATGACATTATACAGGTCGGTACTGCAAATAAAGCTGAGATAAATCTAGTAATCTCTTTATGAAACGTGCATAATATGAAGTACACTCCATACAATACCCAATTTCATGATTGTTTTCTCTATAACAGTCGCTCTTCAAACGTGAGATATGATAATTGAGAATATGGCTTATAAGGCTTATGATAAACTAATCAAGTGTTGATGATCAAATTCACCCACCTTGATAAGCCCATGCAATCATATCATCACAATGCAAACAGACACGTATGCTGCTGGAGGACGATGGGGGGTGGGGGGGGGGGGGTAGGGGTATTGGGATAATCCACACTACAAATTATCTTCTGTCAGTTTAACTTTTAGAGCCTTACCGGCAAATGAGAAAAATGACGTTTGAAATGATTTTTTGCTCGTTAAAGAGTTTTGACTAGTAACATGTCGATGATTTGGTCCGACAACCCGTTTAAAATGGTCTTAGCGATGCCCTTGTTATATATGTAAATATATCTGTGAAGAAAGTCACCTGTTTCAATTTCCATTCAGCAACTGACTGCTCTTGATACTGGAGAGACAAACATGGATGCCTATCATACTCTAATTTAGATTCAAACTTTGTATAAAACATTGTAAAAATATATTAATTAAAAGCATGCTATTTTGCGCATAAATCAATTTGAATGACATAAACATGATATATATTTATATTTTATGTAAATAATGACAGAGCTAAATTGGGCACAGCTGTAGAAGAAAACGTAAAGCTTCCCTGATAAAATAGCATTTGGTAATCATAAATAGCGTATAAAGTAAAGCATAAAACAGAATAATTTAAGAAGGAGAACATAGGAGAAGGGAACGTATGAATGTTTTTGTAAAGTCCAGAATTTTGTTCCCGCAATGTTTTCAATTTATTTTTTGTTGTGATTAAAATCTACTATATATATATATATATATATATATGGTCGATGAATATTTCCAAGCTTCATCAACATGTTCCTGTCTGTCTGTAAGAAGTGCCTCTAATTTTTCTAAATAATTGATGTCTATTCAGTGGCAACACACAAAATTTACTTAGAGAAATCAAGTTAATGTTGCATTAAAATGATACTAATCAAATGATCGAATGATGATGATGGCAATGATGAAGATGACGATGACAAGGAAAACGAATATGACGATGTATATGGCAATCTTAGGTGTTAATGGAATATCTCTATTAAAGGAATTAATGCCTCTGTCCCAAATTTTCAGCTTTTAATCTCCTAAATACTTTTCGCCACATAAGAGCGAAAAATATTGTCACGTCTTAGTTTGGTGTAATAATAATAATAATAATAGCTCACATTTATAATGCGCCTAATACTACGTTTCTAGTAAATGTTATTAATTTTTTTTCAAATTTTATTCTTAATATTTTGTTCTAGTTTAATGTAAGTAAGTGTTGCCGGTGGACCACCTTATATTTTACTTGTTAGTTGTCTAGGAAATTCCTAAAACATTAGTACCAACCATACAGACTAGATTATTGAACGATTAAACAGCATTATAATCGCGCAAAGCGAGCGAGTTTTAAATTCCCACTTTTGTTAGGCGAAAAAGAGTACTTAGACTTGGTGTCTGTAAATCGATTATTTTGGTGGTAAACATTTAACTGGTCTTTTTGAAATACATCATGACAGCAAAAATATCATCTGTACAGTCCAACATAATTGGAAAGTTTAATTTCATTTACAGGTATATACTTTGGTTTCTCTTGGTACCGATGCCAATACATCACATATTTGGCCTCTAAACTTTTAGCAATTCTGCCAGCCTTCTGAAAGTTTATCATAATATATATGATTTAGAAATACATTGCATATATTTAGATAACCTTTGCAAAGATTTAAGATGTTCACACCTCAACATTAAAGAAATAACATACTTTTTAAAAACATCTCATTTAGAGAATGTCACAGTTTTCAAGTGGTTTTTGCAACTTATGTCAAATTATAATAATTCGATCAAATGGACTGACACTTTACTAAAACTAAAATATATTTGGGCGAGCAAACGAAGCGAGCCAGTTGAGGAAATATATCACACTATAACATTAATAGGTGGTATTTCTACCACTTTCGTCATTTTATCACCATGATCACGCTTGTTGTCAGTATTTTCATGGCATCGTTTTGGTTCATCGGCATTTCAGATCTACCGACAAAAAACTTAGAATAAAGCATTTTCCCCTGCCCCTACTTCAATGTGGACATTGTTTCAAAATCAAATATATTGGAAATAAGAGGCAATTACCCTCTTTAACATTTTGAAAACTAAGGTAGCTGCAAAGTTTTACCAAAATCCTCAATAGTGCGTACTCGGTTTTTGAAACGTAAATCATTCGTATAAGATTGATTTTTGGCATAAAATTCATCTCCTTTTAAAATCATCTCTAATGATCTCGAAATTATATATTTGGAACATTTTTTAAATAGATATGAATATAATTGTATCATTTTTTAATGTTATATATCTAAGGCTAGAATTCTCGGGAGGGACAATTTGGCAACCTCCAAAATCCGACAACTTAAACCTAGGAAGACGGAAAATAAAATTATTCGTTAATTGTATCCATCCTGAGATATCTCTTTCCACAAAATCGAAATGGTTTTTTCTATCCATTTTTAACTATTATTATTCAAAGTCAATTCCAAAAGATTCCCCCTAAAAAAAATGGCAAAAACGATGAGTATGGCCAGCTCGAAAACTAACAGGAGAAGGACAATTCTGGTGTAGAAATGTAATCATCCCTACATGACCCATCCCCAGCTTGACCATAATCATTATGACAACGGAAAATACCCAAATAAGTGCTTATCTTACCAAGATGTTTTGCGAATTATCCCTGCTTCAATTGCGTAAATGATGTTTCAGAGGAGGTTCACTTCTTAAGATTGATGACTTCTTGCTTAGAATCCTGAAGGAAAGATAACAGTCCTACGTGATGCTGACACATTAAAAAGCTATCGAGCCTTAGAATTAGGTCCTTGATAACTTGAAGTGCTCTGGTGTCCAAAGTCTTTTGTATGTGTTTATATCCATTCGGGCTGCTATGGCGACGTTGTCGCTTGCTTGCTTACTATATAGTAGTCATGCAGGATAATTTGGTAGCTGTGTGGCTCGCCTTTGTTTTATGGGGTGTTTGAAGGTGGCTATGAGACTTCATGCGGTTGACGCTAGCGTATGTAATTGCAAATGACCACCAATGCAATAATAACCACTAGATTTTGACAATCGCTCTTATTAAGACTTCCATCATACATACCGGATATTTTTGCTTCAGCTAAGTCTGCTACTACTGTTGCTGATAGTACTACTACTACCTGTAATACTATTATTACTACTACTAATAAAAGTACTACTACTACTACTACTACTACTACTACTATACTATCCCTACTACTACTTCTACTACTACTACTACTGCTACTACTACTACTACTACTATACTATCCCTACTATTACTACTAGCACCATTACTTCTGCTGATATTACTCCTACTGCTACTTGTAATACTACTACTCCTACTCCTACTACTTCTACAACTTTAACCGTTACTCAATTTCTGTTATACTTCAATTTGTGTTTTAACAGTTGTATGGTAATGACCTAAGCACTAAAAAGTGTGCTATTATCCCTGTTCGAGATTCAAGTATAGTTTTGTGCTCTGTCTCTACTCCATAATGAGCAATTTATACAGGAATAACGAGGATTGGAAGGGGAAGAAGAAACAAATTAACATAGGATAAGCGTAAAACTTTTTCAGTTAGAAGAAATACCACGAGATGAAATAAAGTCAAACAATTTTGAGCATGAATTTGAAGAAAGGCCATTGTGGCACCTATACAGACAACTCAGGAATTTTAATAAATAAAGCGATGCCGAAATAAAGGCACCCATTGTGTCCATGGTAACATTATCAGAGGCAGAAAGCATTGACGGTACTGCTCAGACCAACCATTGTTCTGGTTTATAAAGAGGCTTAATGATTAACTAGACTGTTCTGTATACCTAATTAAGAAAGTACTTCATCAGTGCAGTGATCAATAAATCAGACTTTGGACCCTATGTTTACTCCACGACCATATTTTCAGGGTCTCAGAGGCTGTTCACACCGGCAGAGATAGCGCGCGCTAGACCGCGCTATCTCTGCGGTTTGGAAGGTACAATGTCGTTTCGGTCCGCCCAACAGCGAGCCACGGCGAGCCAAAACGGCGTGGCACTGGAGCACCTCTTGGGGTGGTCCACGAGAGAGAGAGCGCGGTGTAGCGCGCGCTAGAAAAAAGGGGGTGCTACGATAGACCGCGCTATCTCATTGCAGTGTGAACAGCCTCTGAGAGTCCAAGCCAGTGAAAAAATACAAAGGGCATACAGTTTATTCGGTTGATTAATGAGCAAGCATACATTGAAATGTGTGTAGATTAAACGTCCATGATGTTCAAGTGTATGACATTGTTAATAAAGAATTTTCAATTCGACAGTTTTGCATAATCTCACAGCCTAATTAGCTTTAATTTAATTCATGCGATGGTTGTCAGCACATCAGTTCAAAGGGGCATTTAAGTTTATGAAATTATACATTTCGTCTGCACTGGACATATTAGGACCTATTTTGAATATGTGACACACACGCACGCACGCACACCCACACACACACACGCGCGCAAGCACACACGCACAAATTTGTCCCTACGCTATATAATGACGTTTTATTTTTTTTAATACAAATATCAACAAGTTTTGCTTTTACATGGTGCGTCTATCCATAACACCGGGTTGTTCAATAATACCTAAATTTAAGCTTTTGTTACAGCTGACAGTGCATCTCTCGGCCTCTGCTCAGCGATGGATTGTATTTAAAAAGTCCTTGCGTCGGACGCAAGGATCTGCACGTATTATGAAGGCATGCGGAACACATAAGCGCCTGCAAGAGATTTTTCGGCATGGCCAATAAACTCTTCGTGGGGTTAAAATAATTGAAACCCCCAAAACCAACCCCAGGAAATGTTAACAGCCTCGCTCACCACCAAATGAAATGAGTGAACACTGCAATGTTGGATTGCGTGTTTAAATCAGCGATCGTGTTCAAAATTTCTTTAACAAAAATATGTTATTGCATCTTGTCCAACCATTTCATATCAAGAATAGTTATGTTGAAAACGAGGAGGTCGTTGCATCGCCAGTTTATGTCACAGGATATGAGACATTGACGGTAAAATTAGCCTATATCAAGGTTAATCATATTAATTGTACCCTAATTTAAGTTAATACGTCTGTTCCTAGAGATTGTGCTGTACCTGGTCTGGGCATTTATATCCTTGAATTGGAAATGATAAATATAGCCTTCTGGGCAACTGAAATAAAAAATGATAGCTTGTCAAGATTTGTTTATAACGATAATAAAAATATGCTGTTCTTGTACAGCGCATGTCACATTAACGATATCGTCTCTAATCGCTTGCAAAAGGGTTTAGATGTTACTACTACTCTAGCCTTTAGACAAGGCCTCATGTCTGATAGACGCCGAAGGACTAAAAGGAGACAAATCGCTAAAACCCGAGTGAACGCGCGCCAGAGCGAGTGGCTTCAGCCAAGAGGCCTTTAGTAATCTGGTTTGGATTTATTATGTTAACCTTTGTTTCCGACTGGAGTCCTATACCGAAATGGTAGCGTTCAATCAACGAACGTATCATCGCTTGACGTCAGCATATAGTATCCATCACGCACACAGTAAACTCTACGTAGTACGAATACCTATAACATTGAACGAAAACGGGTTGGACTGATTCGTTTTATGTACAGGGAAAGTCCAATTATCTCTCTTACAATTGTTAGCTCAAGTCATCAAATGCTTCCTATTTAATTGTAATTTTGCATGTAGAATGGATTTGGATGTGATATTTTGTATTAATCGTTCATATGTTCATGTCATAAGCAAAACTCGTTTACGTCTTTTACCTTTTCTTACATGTTTTGATGATGAACGAATCACGAAAGAAGCCAACTGGGAGATGGCCATTCTGATGGTCAATAAATCGAAATTCATGAATAAGTCATGCAGAGTAGTAAAAGCCAGAATCCAGAAGGCCTCGCGGCTAACACCACTCGATCGCGCGTTCACCACAGGTCTCTATCATCTCAGCCGCTGATTGAGGTGGAAAATAGCCAGAGTCACGAGGCCTTGTCAAAAAGCCACTATTACCCCGGCTTAGCCCCAGCAAATCAGTGCTTTCAAGGACTAAATCCTACCAGATACCCACTTGCCACATCTAGCTCAAGTTTGGTAACTGTAGATGAACATGGTTTTGTCTTGCCAGGGGAGGATATTACTGCTGCAGGGTAGGGTTGGAACCCCAGTGCTCTACAAATTTTTATCACGGTATGATTGGAAAGCAGACACTAACATCTTTACAATGCACCTGTACTAAGATCAGATAGGGTAAGATGTTGGGAGCGCAAAGCGTAAGCGTGAACAGGTTGGGTAAATGGTTGGGGCCAGAGGGTGATGAATCCCATATAGAAGCTCTGCGCTTCTAAACGCTTTAAAAGAGAAAACGTCGCCTCTCTGAGCGTCCGTTATTCCAGACGACATATTCGAACCCCTACGAGCATTTCAGAAAGAAAAAATGTTCACAGCTGTAGAGAACTCCAGATCTTTACTGCGTTTTGTCCATGAGCCTAGCCTGATTGTTGGATATTGGGCGTTGCACACGAGGCGTTATTTGCCTGACGTAGGATAGCGTCAGCGACTAGCTTGGCATGTGACGCCCCTCGTCAGGGTGATATGGTACAGAAAGGTGATCGCTAAATTATCAGAGCCGATATCTCATAAAATCACTGGCGTAGGGCCGGATTGCCTTTATGGACTCGATTAGCGCAGTTAATAGCGCAAACAGTTGACGCGTCGTGCACAAACGGCATGCATGGCATCAATCAGATTTGTTCCTATCAACCATAAGGGAGAGGGTACCAGAGGTGGATTCAAGGGGGCCGATACGGCCGCGGCCCCCCTATTGGCGGCGCAAAAAAAGGTGAGGAAATGAGGAAGAAAAGAAGAAAAAAAGAAAGGAGAAGAGAAAGAAAAGGAGAAGAGAAAAGAAACAAAGAGAGAGAGAGAGAGAGAGAGAGAGAAGGAGAAAAGGAGAAAAGGAGAAAAGAAAAAAAAAAGCCCGGCCCCCTCCCACTCAGAGGTCGCTTCTAAAAATCTCCGGTATATAAAGGGGTACTTTCCACGCAAGAAAGTCCGGCCCGTAATACACAAAAATCCGGCCCGTACTGACTTTACACACCGGAGATAGGGGTGCTTACAAAGAGATGGAACGTACATACGCGTACCCTAAATAACACAGTGTAGGGGGGGGGAGGGGAGAGAAAAGTCGGGTGAAAAGGGGAAAAGACAAGGAAGTGGCGCTAAGTGACAGTAACGACGAATAAGGGAAAAACTGTAATCGGGAGATTTGGGTCTTTTCAGAAGGCTTGAGAAATTTAATAGAGGGGGCCGGCCGCATAAAATCTCGAGCCGCGGATGCGAAGTTAAACGTTAAAAACAGCCCCTGCGTTACAAAGGTCATCACTTTTTTGTGAGAAATTTGAAAAGGGCACAATATTTTGGATGTCTTTTAAATAGAAGCTTTATACTCAACTCTTAAATTAACGGCAGAGGGGCCGCTTTACAACTCTTATTTTGCCCTTCATTTGGCTTCAGCTCGTGCCAACTCGCTTGTGCTTGTATTTGAACTCATGTTGGTAGTAATCATGGACAGTGCGGTGATCCTGGGTCCGATTGGGGGACAGGTCCCCCAGGAAATTTAGAAATATAGCTAGAAAGAAATATAGCGGAAAGAACGTACATATTTGGATTAGGAATTTTCTACAATGCATAATTTTAGCATTCAACATTGCAAAATCTCGGTTGGTCGCTACGCTCCCGCGCCCAATAACACAAAACTATGATATGACATTCCGACCACGCTCCCGGCCCTGATTTATCCATGGTTGGTGTAATAGATCTTTTTTTTCTTTTCATTTCTACGTACATAATAATTGTGTGCTATCACACATTTGTTTCGTTTTCC